TACTGCCGCACCGGAGCCACTTACCGACTGTTAAAAAGGGTTAAATTTTTTCTTACTCACTCAGAATTCGATTTGAGCATCCTTGTGGCCATATCGGAGTAAGAGGGACGACAGGTGAGCCAGAAATCGCAGGCAAAATCCGACGGAGCTACCACCGCCAAAACCAAAAACTCCCTCTGATGAACCCCTTCTTGCTTCCCGGTTTATGAGATTTTCTATTCATTATGTTCATTGTCCTTTTCTATGCAGGTTAAACGAAGATGGAACCCCACCCGTGAAGGAGAACCGATAGAGCCACCGCACCTGGAGACCCCCACATTGGTAGGTTCAATTTTTTATGATTTTTCGGCCAACCGAGACTATCTGATGTGTTTTTTTACAAAGATACATGTAAAATCGGTCAATACTGGCCAAAACTGACCAAGCCGAGGTGAATTGTCACCGTGGACAGTAGAACCGGCCTCGGAGCACAACGGTGCCGTTGTGCTGGAACCCCAAAATTGGCCAGAAAGAGTTTCGGACAATGATTTTATATTTTTAGAGTATTTTTAGGTACATGACGAGTATTTTAGATCCTGCAGAAAAAATTCAAGAAATCTTGTACTCGTAAAGAGGTGTAGTAGACAGCGCGATGTCTCGAAACACCAATTCGAGTAAGGATCCCTCACTTATTCCTCGTTACTGTAAATTGAGGCTTAACGATGTATAATTTTGTGTTTTTGTAAAAATTTAAAAAATCATAAAAATAATTACAGGTCACTAGTGGAGTCAAAATCGGTTAGTTCGCAATTATCATGATTTCTTATTTATTTTCCTGTACTATCTTATTTGTTTGTTATTGTATTGTGCATGCTCTTAACTTATACTTTCAATAGTCTTATCGATTTATCTAGTTTACTCAATTATCTGGTTACTTGATCACTTATTATGATAAGCTATATCGTCTGCATAAATATAGTCTAATTGATCTGTAAATATAATATGAAATATTGGTATGCGTTTGTTAGTTATTTTGTTGATGGAAATCTTTATGTGAAAGACTTACTGGGTACCAAGAGAAAGGGCGGACGGGTTCGGTACATAGGAAACCCTAACGTGAACGTCACCTTAGTCTGATGGGACTGAGAAGTCCCATACTGGAAATGTTTGATAAATATGGTTCACCCTTATACCGGACGAGATATCGAGATAATGGACTGTTTGGAACCTATTACCAGACGGGGTATAGGGACAGTTGGTTAATTGTTAAAATTAGATATCGGGTTCACGAGTAGGGGAACATCACTATAGACCCTTAGGGGTACCAGCAAGCAAGTAAGAAAGGAAAATTATTTCTTCTTCTCCTATACGTGAAAATGAAAAGTCGTATGGATATGAGTCTTCATATGTTGTTTTTTTGAAAAACTCGTAACGATAAGTATCGAATAAATTTTTTTTAAAGTTAAATGTATTTAATTAAAGTAAAGACTCCATTAGTTATTTTTCTGACTTTTACTACATTTCGGTTTCCGTATCTGTGATTAATGTGATATTCTTATTGAGTTAGTATAACTTATTATTTCATTAACCATTTCAGATCAAAAAGACCAAAATTCAGATGCCGATCAGTAAAAAAGTTGTGACTAGTTCACCATTCGGACTCCCATCAAGTATTAGTGAATGTTGTCATATGATACTTATCTATTCGTTTTTTCTTTGATTAATCGTATGTCCCTTAGAATAGATATTTTCGTAATCCTATTGGACATTCTAATTTATTGTATAAACAATATAAACCCTCACATATTATTCGTTTCCGCATTTAAATTATAAATTCATTTTCTTTAAAGTTTCGGATCTTAACATTATACAGATTAGTCTGTCATATTTATTATATTTACAAAAGACCTTAAAATATTTATTCATTTATTATACCAAACATTATAAGCAAACATCTTAAACAATTGGTCTGTATAAGAACAAATTTGTAAAAAGAATAAAATTAAACAGGAAAGTTGATGGAGGCCACGGTCATGGTCCCCTTAATTTGTTTCCCCTCCTCCAAACAAAGTAGTAATAAACTAATAATATATTTGTTACTGAGGAAAGAAATCTTAAATTAATTTGATAATGTAATAAGTCCTAATAATGAATTACCATAATTTAATAGTTTATGGACATTATTAGGTATTTATGGGTGTGTATGTGTGTATATGATATACATATATTCCCCAATTTACCGAAGAAAAAAAGGAACACAACAAACTGTAAAAATACAAAAAAGGCTCATATACATCAGCATTATTGTGATGTACTGTCCCCAGCAAAGGTGTGTAAGCGTCTTTATAAGATACCTTTCAGAACTCTTGAGGATTTATCGCTGATCATGGCGAAGATCGCTTTAGGAACCCGGCATGAAGTCACCAAGCCTGATTGCATCAGAGCCCTCGTCGTCGAGTTTATCACCACCTTCCTTTTTGTGTTTACTGGAGTTGGATCTGCCATGGCTGCCGGTATAATATAGATACATATATATAAACCTCCACCCAATGCACACACATATATTTTAATATACCCACATGAAAACTGATTGAGAATATGATGAATCTTTGCAGACAGGCTAGTGGGAAATGGGCTGTTGGGATTGTTTGCTGTGGCAGTGGCTCATGCACTGGTGGTGGCGGTGATGATATCCGCCGGTCACATCTCCGGCGGCCATCTGAATCCGGCAGTCACACTTGGCCTTTTGTTCGGCGGTCATATCACCCTGGTTCGATCTATTCTGTATTGGATTGACCAACTTTTGGCATCTTCAATTGCTTGCATTCTCCTCAAGTATCTCACCGGTGGACTGGTAAGTTCTTTGCTGCATCCATTAACATTTACTTTCTTTAATTACCCTTCTTATGTTAATTTAATTTAATTTTATAGGATACGCCAATTCATACACTTGCAAGTGGAGTAGGATATGGTCAAGGAGTGGTGTGGGAGATTGTGTTGACTTTCTCTTTGTTATTCACTGTGTATGCTACAATTGTTGATCCCAAGAAAGGAAGTCTTGATGGGTTGGGTCCGATGCTCACTGGGTTTGTAGTAGGAGCCAACATCTTGGCCGGCGGTGCGTTTTCTGGTGCATCAATGAACCCTGCACGTTCATTTGGACCAGCTCTGGTCAGTTGGGACTGGACTGACCACTGGGTTTACTGGGTCGGACCCCTCATGGGCGGTGGCCTTGCAGGGTTTATGTATGAAAATTTCTTTATTGTCAGATCTCATGTTCTCGTTTCTCATCAAGATGACTCTTGTTAGTTTTCTCATGTGTCTCATTTGATTTGAAGGGTGAGAAGTATCTCTAAGCTTTTCTTGATGTCAAATAAGGATTACTACTCTACTGTAAAATCTGATATATCTAAAATTCTACTTGTACTTATTTTAGGTTTTGATGTTTATCTATTTGGCGTAACATGTTTGTCAAGTGAATAAACCTACACTTTTTTTAGAATTTGTGTGATGCTTTCTCCGCCAAGATCTCAAACTTGCAAGTCTCAACAGATTGGAGTGCACCCCCTTATCTCCACAAGAAAAAGAACATTCATTTGGTTGAGACAAAGTCTCAATTGTAGAAAATAAATTATAATTAATTAAATAATCAACTAATATTAATGGAAAAATATACATTAATTTGTATTTTCGAATGTTAATTAGCTACTTTAATAACCCAAGACTCCATGAAAAGTGACTCGTCATCTTCATAAAGAGGATATAAGTTTTAATAACTAAAATAAATTCCATATCCTTGCCTTCTATTTACTCTACTTTCCCATATCTAAAACCGCCGCAGATCATCTCCAATATTTTCAAATTGTTGTATCAGAATGTTGTCCTTTTGATATTGAATATCAGGAACACAAGTTCACGTTGAATAGTGGGTGTAAGATGAGACAGAGTACAAGAAAGGTTGAATAGATCTCTGGTTAATCCAACCTGGCTGGAATGGTTTCTTTATGCTGTAATCCATTACATGTTGCAGCTTGGTTCATATCATGTACCCATATTACTTGACCATTTTCAAAACCACATAAACAAAAGAAGGAACAAAAACAGATTTCCATTTGAAGAATTTTTTATTGGGGGAGGACAAAAGCTGCATATGGTTAAAGCTTTCTCTTTCCCGTACGTAAGTGGTGACGCAATCATGATTTCACTCCCGACGTCATCACTATTTCTGAGTCGGGGACTCACCTATAAATTGATAGATAGTTCACCCTTGGGAGAGGTGTTCAATTCACCGGGCAAACTGAGAACAGATAGGAGAAAGAAGTAAGCGAAATGGCAGCAGTGAGGAGAATGAAGCTAGGTTCACAGGGACTGGAAGTTTCGGCGCAAGGACTGGGATGCATGGGAATGTCCGCCTTCTATGGGCCGCCGAAGCCGGAGGAAGAGATGGTGGCTCTAATCCACCACGCAGTCAACAGTGGCATCACTTTCCTCGATACCTCTGACGTTTACGGTCCACACACCAACGAAATTCTTCTCTCAAAGGTTCTGATTCTCTCTCTGTCTCTGATTTTGATTTCGTAGAGGATTTCCTATCTGAGTAGATTAGGGTTTGGTGAGTGCAGGCGTTGAAAGATGGGGTGAGGGGGCGGATTGAATTAGCAACTAAATTTGGAATCGACTTTACCGACGGCAAAAGAGAGATTCGGGGCGATCCGGCGTACGTGAGAGCTGCTTGCGAGGGAAGCTTGAAGAGACTTGGAGTTGGTTGCATTGATCTTTATTACCAGCATCGTGTTGACACCCGTGTCCCCATTGAAATCACGGTTTGTTCAGGATTCTTTTAATTTTTTGTTTGTGCTGTAAATATTCTGTGTCTACACAGTTTAGTGATGAGCTTAAACCGGTTTCTTGGTTTTAATTTGGGTTCCAGGACCAAATCTTTGCCTTGAAAAATCAATCTGCCACATGAATGAATATTCTTATAATACTTGCCTATGCATAATTTGTTATACTTATATGCCAATTTCCTGTAGTGATGCTGCATGATTATCCCGTACTGGAAAATTCTAATGTGTCTTCAAGCTAATTTGCCTGCTTTAGTTATCATCTGTTTTCAGCTAATCTAAGAGTAGAAATTGGAAGCAAATTTTCAGCTGGTCTTTTTTTTTATTTTGCATAATTGCTTTGGGTTTGTTGCTTATCTAGATTGTATTTGTAAAATGAGGTTGCTAATAAATCAACTATTTTCCTGTCTGTTCCTAAAGATGAGAGAACTCAAGAAACTAGTTGAAGAAGGCAAAATAAAGTACATAGGCTTATCTGAAGCCTCTGCTTCAACAATCAGAAGGGCGCATGCTGTTCATCCCATCACTGCAGTCCAGTTGGAGTGGTCCTTGTGGTCGCGAGATGTGGAGGAAGACATAGTTCCTACCTGCAGGTGATTGGTTGTAACCGAACCGAGATATAATTTTTAAGTCCATTTTCTAATGCGAGCAATCTAATTTTCAGGGAACTGGGGATCGGTATTGTTGCATACAGTCCACTAGGACGGGGATTCTTTTCATTGGGACCCAAGTTGACCGAACAGCTCGCAGATAACGACTTTAGAAAGGTAATCTCTGAACAAAAAATTCCTACATGCATTGTATTCATATTTTCTAACAGCCGCTACCCTGCATGTTTGTGAACCTTCAGTATATATTAGTGAATTTATCAACAGAGTATGATTTCCTTGTGTTATCAGGATCCCATTGATTTGTAGTTCTCAACAGATACATCAAGGAATCTGCTTAACAACAAAGCACTTTGAATGACTTTTAGACCATAATATGTGCTTCATTTGTGCCAGTTCATTGATAGCTATTTAGTTCCGCTGAGTTTTTATCTTTTCTAGTTTTTAGTTAAGGTTTGGTAATTTAGGAGATTGAACTTCATACCTTACCACACAGAATTCAGCTAAGCCGAAAGTGGTTACTTTTGGGCTTGGAGTCTTGGTGATAGGTGCTGGAGAGCTGAGCATGTTGGTGAAGAGATGAGGAATCTTTTCATTCCTACGAAGAGTTGCAACTTCTTTCCACTGCTGCTAAAGGGCTTGTAACCCTTGAACCTCCACCCTCGTGGTAACGAGCAGGGGATGTAACCAACTAACCTAACGTGAGTTGGTTTAAAGAGTTGCAACTTACCTGGGCTTCATATCTAATAAAATCAAAGTTCTTTGTAGTTTCCATTTGAGGAAAAAAAATGATACCTTATAGGTATATGGTGACACTCTCTTAACGAGCTCGCTTTAGTGCCATTCCTCATTCCACCGAAGTGTGGTTGATGGTTCAAGATTCGGTGGCTTCAATTAGGGGTGTATCGTCTCAAATGCCTTCGACTGGCGGTGGCCCTTACAAAAAGATTTAAGAGAAAAGAATTTAGTCTCTGGAACTTATGCATCTTCATTCATTGTAGACCAAATCACTTATTGCTAATTGTCCTATTGTGATTGTGTAATTTCTGAAATAAATGTTTCAACTGTTGCAGCATCTACCTAGGTTCCAAAAGGAAAATCTGGAACATAATAAAAAACTTTTTGACCGAGTTAATGAAATAGCAGCAAAGAAGGGATGTACACCATCGCAGCTAGCACTGGCATGGGTTCACCACCAAGGAGACGATGTATGTCCTATACCTGGAACCACCAAGATTGCAAACCTGAACCAGAACATGGGAGCTTTGTCAGTGAAACTGACTCCTGAAGAGATGGCTGAACTTGAATTCATTGCTTCAGCTGATGGGGTCAAGGGTGATAGATATATGTCCAACTTTGCTACGTACGAGAATTCCGAAACTCCTCCCCTGTCTTCATGGAAAGCTGAATAAGCCAACACATTCTCTTATAAATGGTTTGTAATGTCTTTTCCTTCTTATATGAAATGGGCATATCTTTGAAATATATTTTGCTTGTGCTTTGTTCCAGTAGCATGGTAAGAGAGGACATTTGCCATGCCTTACCATGTTGTGCGTGTAATATTTACAGAGTTTGTTTTACATAATAAAGCATTAATTATGCTTGGAGCTCTATATAGTCTAATACTCGATGGTTAAAATGGTTGAATGATAAATAAATTTTACCTTTGTGGGATTAGAAGGGGGTTAGAACTGATGACCCTAGAGAGATTAAAGACAGGTCTGAGGAGTTCAACACAGAACATTTTGGGAAAGGAAATACAGTGTATCTTCTGCAATTTACAGATGACACATTATTTTTGTGCTCTAGTGGAGAGCTTGGTTTGTTCATACCCCATTATATATCAGTCACTGATGGATCAAGTAAAATTGAGATAAAATAGTCAAATTATAATCCTCTTTATTACATACAAGCTGCAAACCCAACCAATTTTAATTATTAATCATGTCTTACTATCGAAGTAATTAACTAATTAACTAATCTATTTCATGAAATGATAATGCACACAACAGCCCACTATATGAAAGGGAAAAATCACGAGCATAAAAATCACAAGATCATCACAACATCTCTTAACCTCAAGCAATTAATCCCCCATTGAACCGAACCAAGCTTGTTCCAATTGCTACCTTGTCATATCCCAGGAACATATATGGCTGGAAGCATAGGTGCACGACTCTCTCTGAACTGTTTCTTCACAGAGACGACTGTTCATCTTCTTCCTCCATGCGATGCGACCGACGGGATGAAAAGGCTGCTCCGAATGGCAGCTTCTGGTGCATGGCAACGATTGACAGTTCGAAAAGACGATTCACATACAATTTCATACCTATAAATACGAGATTGTAAATCAAAATCATCATCTTGTAATTTGTTGGAAATGAATCTCAAATAATCTCTCTCTCTCTCTCTTAAATATTCCAGCTCTCTCTCTCTAAGAGACTCTTCTCTTTCACACACACCTCTTCTCACTTCCCGACTCGACTCCCTTTCTTCTCTCTCTCTCTCTCCAGAAATCTTAATTTATTTTCTAAAAATTACAATTCTGCCCCAATCTTTTGATTATCTCAAAATTATCCCAAAAATTTAAACTTTCATTTTTGCCCTTACTATTTTTTTTTTTTAATTTTCAGATTATCTCAAATCACTTAAATTTAATATTTTTTTTTCTCAAAATCCGATTGATGAATTAAACGTCAAAACGGAATCCTGACATACCTTAATTTAGATCTTACGACCAAAAATCTCATTCATATGTATTACTAATAATAATAAATAATTTCAATAATACAAATAATAAGTTCTAACAAGTTAAATCATATATTTTTATACGAATAGATCTGCTAACTAAATCTAATTTAGCGAAGGTAAAATTAAATTAAATTTCTTAATCATTTAAAATAAAATTTGCAAGCATTTATTTAGATTCTGAAAGTTCAAACCTCCTCCTTCCCCATTAAAAATTATTATGAAAGAAAGAAAATACAAATAAGAGAGAAGAAAAGAGTGCAAACGAATTTGCAAAAAAAATAAAAATAAAGGTGGAGTGGGGCCGGTAAGTAGGTAGCAAGTTTTCTTTGACTTTTCAAATCAAGTGGTCAGAATTTATTGTATGGTTAGAAATAATCAAGCAAATACAACAACAGTTGGTAATTATTATCAAGAGATACATGAAATGCATAATATATAGTTTAATTATATAATTGGAAAAACGAAAAATAATTTTTATAGAGAAAATTAAAAGTAGTTTCTTAGAACTTATTGCAGTAGGGACAGACATTGTTGTACCCGGTTTATTTTGATTTTGATTTTGATTAAAGTAAGAGGAGAACTTTTTGATTATTTGCCGCAGAGCAACCATATAGAAATTTCATGGTGAGTACCCCACCACTCTATAAATACATGTATGTATATATATATATATATATATATATATTGCGTGTTGTGTTTCTCTATCTATATCTCTCTCTCTCTCTCGATTTCCATATCATTTTTAGCTGCAAGACATGGACAGGCACCTTCAAGAGATCATCACCATAGGAGACACGCAGAGCTTCCTGCACCTGGCGGCGGAAAACGAGGCCATAGCCGAACAGACAACCGCTGGTTCGGGAAACACGATCCTGCACCTGGCGGCTCGGTTCGGGCACATCGAGCTGGCTCGGGAGATCGTGAGGCTCTGGCCGGAGTTGGTGGTGGCGGAGAACGAGAGAATGGAGACACCATTGCATGTGGCATGCAGCGAAGGGATGACGGAGGTGGTGAGACTAATGGTGGAAACAGAGCCTTTGGTGGTTTACAAGGTCAATGGCGGCGGAGAGACCGTCTTGTTTGTGGCCTGCGGAAACGGAAAGCTCGAAGTGGCAAAGCTTCTTTTAGGGTTTCCATGGCTTCTCATGTTGGAGGTAGATGGGTTTACTACTACCTCCCTTCATGTCGCAGCTTCTGGCGGCCATACAGGTACGTATATATATGTATACCTATATGCATATGTATGTACGTATGTTTACTTCTACTGTTTTGGTGAATTATTTACACAGATTTATTTATTTTTTTATTTA